GGCGGGCGTGCGGCGGGCGGCGGGCAGTGTGTTAGCACATCTTGCGTAAGCTTAACCTACGTGCTCTGTTTCATACTGAATACGATTTATGCTCTACTAACGTTACCATTTACGAATTATATTTGTTACGTTTAATAACTACTTTTTATTTTTAATGAAACTTTAACTAAAATTTATCTTAACTATTGTATGGGTTTACACTTTTTTAATCTTTGACTAAACGAAAATCTACTAACACTAGAACCTAGATACTCATAAATATCGCGATCTCATGAACTGTTGCTGCATCCAGGTTTGTAAAAATCAACAATGAAGAATAAAAATATAAAACGGCCAATGTTTTGTTGTGAAAACCGATGACATTGTGTACGTGCTAAATGTTTTGCTTCTCTCCTACGCTTTAATTAACTGCAGTCATATCATAAGGTTAGTCACACACCAAAGCTGAGCTACAAAATTCTTCATGCAAACTATATCAATACATACATTGAAAACGATTGTTCAACAAAATGCTATGAATAGTTACTGAAAAATGTGGATTGCTTTCGTCATAAAGACCCGAAATGAATGTCAGTTTCGCCATTGTATGTGGTCTATCGGTATAATCTTTTTCAATCGTTACAACTACGAGTAATTTTGGTAGAAAATGATTTACGATAAAATTCTACAGTCATTGAACATCACATAAAATTTGCAATGTATTTTATGTTTCGTGTTGTTTTGTGCGAGCGTGTGGTCGTGTTATTTTAATTACTATCAAATGAATTCAATTCTATTATTTACGCTTTCTTTTCATAGTATTATGTAGTATTTTAAGTGAGAGAGAAAGTAGTCATACTATGCGTGAGTTTTTAACTATTTTAGAATAACTTAGACTTTGTATCACGTAGTAATATTATATATTACAGTATGATATGCATTGAGGTGGCGAGGCGGCACGGGGACTGGTCGCACAGGATATGCAAAGCGAGTTAATTATTATCGAGTGCAACCGATATAAAAACAATTTTAAGCGTAACCTATTCCATAGATTTCAAATTGAATAAATAACGTAGTATTCTGTCATGTCTGAGGGTGGAGCTCTTCGTGCTGGAAGTCGTATTTGAGTTGACTGATGTAATTCTTTTCAATGGCGAGTTTACTTGATCTTAGGTCAGTGAATGTGAAGGGCAATTACAATTTGAATGCATTATTAGATTTGCATTGCGCGAGAATAATGAAGGTGAATATTGTCGTGGGCCGGTGGCGAGTGCCGCAAGGATATTGCCTTATGCGTCGCGAGCTGCTCCACTGACGAACTGGCTGGCTACTCGGAACCTTGCACACTGCTCCCTTTACTTGACTCGTATACCTAATCATTATTTTAAAATGCCTTAGTTTAAGTTATATTATACGTGCAACAAAACGAAAACTTACACTCTGTAAACTTAACTATAATAATTTTGCAATGCATTTGGAATTTGCTATTTAGTTCTAAAGACTAGCGGTTGCATGCAACTCTGTCAGCGAGGAATAAGATAAATAGTGTAACTTACT